GGTGGCCACGGTGAGTGGCTTCGGCCAGGACTCAGCTTCGCCGCGGCTCGGTCAGCCCCGCCCACATACCCGCCCCCAGCATCAGGACCCCGCCCTGCTTGCCCCGCCCCGTTCTGAGCGATTCGCGCTCAGGCCCCGCCCACACACTCGATAGCCCCGCCCTTCACGTGTTAACCCCGCCCATCGCGCCACGCCCCGTCCTGAGCTGCGGCGCTCAGGCCCCACCCACACACTCGATAGATCCGCCCCCCGGGTTTATGCCGCTCATCTTGCCCCGCCCCGCGTACGCCTCCGAGCTTAGGCCCCGCCCACACCCTCGCTGGCTCCTCCCCCTGTCAATTTCTCCCGCGCTCTCGACTCCACGTCGCCCTCTATCTGCAGATGTTGTACACTGGCATCGTGATCTACGCCCCAGCGCTCATCCTGAACCAAGGTGAGGCTCTGGGGTGTCAAGGGAGGGGTCGGAAGAAAGGAGGCAGGAAAGAAGAACCCCCAGAACCAAGTCTGCACCCCGCCCAGCAGCCTAATCATATGGGGGTGTCTGTTTGCACAGTGACCGGGCTGGACATCTGGGCATCGCTCCTGTCCACCGGAATTATCTGCACCTTCTACACGACTGTAGTGAGTGTCCCCGCGCACGCTCCCTTCGCAGGGGCTCCAGCCCCCTGGGTCTTTCTGGAGGGGAGAGTTGGGGACATCCGGTCCAGTACCTACCTCCCTTCCCCCCCTCCCCGTCGCAGGTGGGCCTCGGTTTCCTCATCTTTATAAGGAAAGGTGATCTGAAATGCTTACTGTAGAGAATCTAGGGGTGATCTGACTTCAGGCATGGCTGGATCCAGGGGCTTCCACAGCGTTCTCTGGTCCCTTTCCCATCTCTTTGGGTTCTGACAGCTCCAAGCTTCCATCTCTTCTGGTTTCTGCATTTATCAGAAAACTAGCTCCTGGGGCTTGCAGGTGGTGTGGTGGTTAAGGGCACTGGACTCCCACATGGCTGACCACGGTTCAAGTCCCGGACCTGGTGGCTTGCTTTTTCTCACTTTCTGTCTGTCTCTCTCTCTCTCTTTCTCTCCTTCTCTGGTCAAATTAAAAATAAATAAATAAATAAAGTTAAATAAAATATTTTGGGAAAAATATATTAAAAAAAAAACAAAACAGGAGACTGGGACCAACAGTTAGTGTAATGGCTATGTCGCTGGACTCCCACGTAGTCGACCATGGTTTGCGTCCCGGACCCGGTGGCTTAAAACTCACGCCAGGCGCGTGTGCGTGCGTGCCCAAGATCCCGAGAGGAGAATGGAGGAGAAGGGATTGTAGCGTGGCCATCCCCCCTGGAGGAGTGATTTCTTGCTTTCTGTCTCTATGTCTCTGTCTTTCTGGAGAGCACACGCGCCCCATAGCAAAAACCTCTACAAAAAACAAACAAACAAACAAACAAAAAAACCAGGAGATTAATTAAAAAAGAAAAAAAAAGAAAGAAAGAAAGAAAGAAAACTATCTCTTACTCTGGGCAAAGCCTGACTAAAGTCTCAGAGAGGGCCCTATTGGGCTGACTTGAACCTGGGTCCCTTGTCCTGATTGGGCTGTTCAGGGGGGCTGGAATGCTCTGATTGGCTATTACTGGAACTGGAGGTGGAGCCAGCCTCACATGAACGGCCTATGGGAGGCGAAGGAGCTTCTCCCTGGAAGATCCAGGATCGGCTATGGGAGCCAAAGGTGGGGGGCTTGATGGTTAAAACAATAACCAGTAATAATAGTGATGGGGCCGGTGGGTGGTGTGGTGGTTAAGGGCACTGGACTCCCACATAGCCAGAGGTGGTTCAAGTCCTGGGCCCGACAGCTTGCTTTCTCGCTTTCCCTTTCTCTTGCTCTCATCCTCTCTCTCTCTGCCCCTCTCTTGTCAAATTTAAAAAATAAATAAAGTTGGGAACCAGCAGTTAGCGTAATGGCTATGTCGCTGGACTCCCACATAGTCAACCGCGGTTCGCCTCCCGGACCCGGTGGCTTAAAACTCACGCCGGGCGCATGTGAGTGTGTGCCCAAGATCCCGAGAGGAGAATGGAGGAGAAGGGATTGCGGTGTGACCATCCCCCCTGGGGGGTGATTTCTCACTTTCTGTCTCTATGTCTCTCTCTGTCTGTCTGGCAAGCGCACGCGCCCTACAGTGAAAAATCTCTCCAAAAAAAAAAAATAAATAAATAAAGTTAAATAAAATCATTCTTTAAAAAAATCTTAATAATAATAATGGTTGTACTAGCAAGTGGCGAGGAGGTTAAGACATTGGATCTCACATAGCTGACTCCACAATTCAAGTCCCAGACCCAGTGCCTTGAAAATCAGGCCAGGGGACCAGCAGTTAGCGTCATGGCTATGTCGCTGGACTCCCACGTAGTCGACCGCGGTTCGAGTCCCGGACCCAGTGGCTTAAACTCATGCCCGGTGCGTGTGCATGTGTGCCCAAGATCCTGAGAGGAGAATGGAGGAGAAGGGATTGCGGTATGGCCATCCTCCCTGGGGGGCGGTTTCTCTCTTTCTGTCTCTCTGTCTCTGTCTGTCTGGCGAGCGCACATGCCCTATAGCAAAAACCTCTCCAAAAAAAGAAAAAAAAATCAGGTGGGGGTGGGCAGCAGGTGGCTTAGGGGTTATGTCACTGGACTCCTATATGGCCAACGGTGGTTCGAGTCCCAGGTGCCATGACTTGAAACTCACACCAAGCATGTGTGCGTACCCATCCAAGATCCCAGGAGGAGAAGGGATTGCAGCGTGGCCATGCTCCCTGGGGGGGGTGATTTCTCACTTTCCTTCTCACTGTCTCTGTCTCTCTCTCCAGCAAACGCACATGCACAAAGGCGAAAAACAAACCCCAAAAACCACCTCTGCAAAAGAAAATCATATTGGGAGCATGTGTATTTGCGCCCAAAATCCTGAGAGGAGAATGGAGGAAATAATTATTACATCATTTTCTCTTGCACTCGATTTAATTCTGTGCGTTTTGTTTTGTTTTTACAGTTTTTTGCCACAGAAGGCATGCGCTCACCAGAGAGAGACAGAGAGAAGGAAAACAGGGACTCACCCCCTGGGATGTCGGCCGTACTGCAATCCCTTCTCCTCCCTTCTCCTGGGACTTTTGGTTTGGTAGAGGTTTTTGTTTGTTTGTTTGTTTGTTTGTTTTCTTTTCTTTTTGCTATAGGGCATGTGCGCTTGCCAGACAGACAGAGCGAGACAGAGAGACAGAAAGCGAGAAATCACCCCCCAGGAGGGATGGCCACGCCGCAATCCCTTCTCCTCCATTCTCCTCTCCAGATATTGGGCATGAGAATTTTAAGAATTTTAAGCTGTGGGAAGCTGGCAGGTGGCGTGGTGGTTAAGGACGCTGGACTCCCACATGGCTGACCGTGGTTCGAGTCCCAGACCTGGCAGCTTGCTTTCTCGCTTTCTCTCTCTTTCTCTCTTTCTCTCACTCTGTTCTTCTCTGGTCAAATTAAATAAACAAGCAAATAAATAAATAAAGTTAAATAAACTAATTCTAAAAAAAAAAAGAAGAAGAATTTTAAACTGTCGAGTCTGGGACTCAAACCATGGTCTACTACCTGGGAGTCCAGGAACGTAACCACGATGCTATCTTCTGGTCCCAGGATCCAGCATGGTAAAGCTGGCCCCACTACTGTATTATCATGAACCTCATTTTACAGATGAGGAAACTGAGGCAGAGAGAATGATCTACCCCAGCCACCAGGGGAGGCTGGGCTGGCTTCTTCCCAGCTGGGAGCCCCACCCTATCTGTCCTGTGACCACCCATGTGGTCTCCTCACCCCCATCTCTGTCCCGTCTCACAGGGTGGCATGAAGGCTGTGGTCTGGACCGATGTGTTCCAGGTCGTGGTGATGCTGAGCGGGTTCTGGGTCGTCCTGGCCCGCGGCACCACGCTGGTGGGTGGGCCCCAGCAAGTGCTCGAGCTGGCTCGGAACCACTCTCGGATCAACCTGATGGAGTGAGTGAAAACTTAGAGGGGAAGACCGCAGAAAAGGATGAAGCTGATGCCTCCTCCTCCAGGAAGTCCTCCCTGCTTCCTTCCCTAACCACTCTGCAGACAGGATCCTGGCTCCCACTCTGAGCACTCCTCCAGACAGACACAGACAGAGGGAAAGTGAGAAATCCTCCTCTCTGGGGGATGGCCATTCCACAATTCCTTCCCCTCCATTCTCCTTTGGAGATTTTAAGCCAGCACACACATGCACCTGGTGTGATTTTTCAAGGCTCTGAGGCTGGGACTCGAACTGTGTCGAGTCGGCTGTGTGGGGATCCAGCTGCCTTAACCTCCACACCACCTGATGGCCTGATAATGATTTTTTTTTTTTAATTTTGTTTTGTTTTGAAAAAAAAAAAAAAAACCAATAATTTCTTTAAAGAATTATTTTCTTTGACTTTATTTATATTGTTAGTTTAATTTGACCAGAGAGGGACAGAGCTAGAGAGAGAGAGAGAGAAAGTGAGAGAGCAAGCTGCCAGGTCTGGAACTCGAACCATAGTCGGCCACATGGTATTCCAACACCCTTAACCACCATGCCACCTGCTGACCCCTGAAAAAAAATAATGATTTATTTAATTTTTTAAAAAATTGTTTGATTTAACTTTATTTATTTATTTAAATTTGACCAGAGACAGGGAGAGAAACAGAGAGAGAAAAAGTGAGCCACCAGGTCCAGGACTTGAACCACAGTCAGCCATGTGGGAGTCCAGTGCCCTTAACCACCACCCCATCTGCTGTCCCTATTTAATTTTATTAATAATTATCTTTTAAATTTGCTACAGGACATGTGTGCTCACTAGAGAGAGAGAGACAGAGACAGGGACTGAAAGCGAGTAATCAATTCACCAGGTCCAGGACTCAAACCATGGTTGACCATGTGGGAGTCCAGCATCTTAACCACCACACCACCTGCTGGTCCCCAATACAATGGTTTTTGAGTGCATACGCCGATGAGTCTGTGAACACTCAAGTAAATGAACCATCTGGCAAACTCCTATGCACACTTCAAAACCCACTCCAAATGTCCCTTTAAGATCCCTAAGATCCAGAATAACTAACTCTCTGGGGCCCTTGGGAGGGTGGAGTCAGTGTCACCCCCTCGCATGGCTAATTTGCCCTGTCCCTACTCAGCTTTGATCCCGATCCTCGGAGTCGGTACACATTTTGGACTTTCGTGGTGGGCGGCACGCTGGTGTGGCTTTCGATGTATGGTGTGAACCAGGCACAGGTGCAGCGCTACGTGGCCTGTAGCACAGAGAAGCAGGCCAAGCTGTGAGTGTCTGGGGGTGCAAGGCTGGGGGTGGGGGGCCTGGACATGCTGTCCCTTCAACCTGAGGCCTTGTCCCCCACTGTCCCCAGAGCCATCCTCATCAACCAGCTGGGCTTGTTCCTGATCGTGTCCAGCGCGGCCAGCTGTGGCATCGTCATGTTCGTGTTCTACAATGGCTGCGACCCTCTCCTCACAGGTCGCATCTCCGCCCCAGACCAGGTGAGTCCCTCACGCCCAGGGGGTCAGGGCGGAAATGAGGCTGTCGGGCACTAGGGAGCCACAGCGGAGTGTGAGCAGGGGAGGGGCTCCTTCCATTCCAAAGTCGTAAAATGATGGTGTTGATGACAGTCCTGGCTGTCTCTGGGCCAGCACGGAGCATAGAGATTGAGGTGCTAGATCGCACATGGCTCACTCCAGGCTGCAGTCCTGGACCCGGCAGCTTGAAAACCATGCCAGGCTGAAACCAGCAGGTGGCGTGGTGGTTAAGACACTGGACACTCCCACATGGCTGACCACGGCTCAAGTCCTGGACCTGGCGGCTTGCTTCCTCACTTTCCCTCTCTCTCTCCCTCTGTGTGTCTCTCTCTGGTCAAATTAAAATAAATGAATGAATGAATAAAATTAAATAAAAAATAATTCTTTTTTGAGGGGGGGGTTGCTATAGGACATGTACGCTCACCAGACAGACGGAGAGAGACAGAGAGACAGAAAGGGAGACATCACCCCCTAGTGGGGATGGCCACACCACAATCCCTTCTCCTCCATTCTCCTCTCGGGATCTTGGGCACGCACGCACACCTGTCCAACTTGAAAGCTGTTTTGTTTTTGATGTTATAGAGATTTTTATTTTTAAACATTATTTTATTTAACTTTATTTAATATTAGTTTTCAGTTTTATCAGACAGAAAGAGAATGAATGTGAGATCGTAAACCATCAGGTTGAGGACTTGAACCACGGTTGGCCACATGGGAGTCTAGTGCCTTTAACCACCACGCCACCTGCTGGCCCTGCGTCCAGCATGAGTTTTAAGCCTCCAGATCCAGGACTCAAACCATGGTTGACTACATGGGAAACCAGCAACCTAACCATTACACCCTCTCTGCTGGCCCCCCCAAAAACTAATATTTTTTTTAAAGAATTGTTTTATTTAACTTTATTTATTTATACATTTTTAAATTTTAATTTGACGAGAGAGAGAGAGAGAAAGTGAGAAAGCAAGCCACCAGGTTCAGGACTCGAACCGTAGTACACCCATGTGGGAATCCAGTGCCTTTAACCGCTATGCGATCTGCCGGCCCCCCAAAATAAGTTTTTAAAAGAATTATTTTCTTTAACTTTATTTATTTTTTTTAATCTGATCAGAGAGGAACAGAGTAAGAGAGAGAGAGAGAGGGAAAGTGAGAAAGCAAGCCGCCAGGTCTGGGATTTGAACTGTGGTCTGCCATGTGGGAGTGTTTGGTGCCTTAACCACCATGCCACCTGCTGGCCCCCAAATAATAATCATTTAAAAAACAATAATAATAGCTAGCTCCGTGTCCCAAGCGCCCACTCCGTTCCTCACACTGTTCCCTTCATGAACAATTTCCCATCAAATCTTCCAACATGAGATAAGGCAGGGCTTGTCATGGCCCCTGCTTTACAGACGAGGAAACTGAGGCTCAGGGAGGGAAGCCGTGGTCTGAGGGCAGTGGGCAAGTCAGGGACAGTGCTGGGCCACACCCCGGTTGGAGTTCTGACCACGAAGTTTAGAGTCCGTGAGACAAAGGTCTTCCCATGTGCTGTCGTCCCTGGGGGTCTAAGCCCGACTGGCAGCCTGTGCAACCTCTGAAAATGTACCTCTCAGCTTCACCGTCCCCGTTAGTAAATTGGGGATGACGCAGGACCCCGACTTACAAGGATCTCAGAGCGTGGGACCCCGTGGCTCTCAGTGGTAATTCCGGGGCTCTAGCAGTCAATCAACAAACATATGTGAACTGCCCGCTGCAGTTCCTGTCTGCCCCAAGTGCTGGGGCTGAAAGAGGTCAGGGCACACAAAAGCAACTGCCCTGGGGGTGCCATTGGCCTGGACTCTGACCCCCAGTTCCCCCTAGTACATGCCCCTGCTGGTCCTGGACATCTTCGACGACCTGCCTGGAGTCCCCGGTCTCTTCCTGGCCTGTGCTTACAGCGGTACCCTCAGGTGAGCCATAGATCGGAGCCCCCTTAGGGCTCTTGGTCTCTTTTGGCCAGCTCCCTGGTGGGCAGAATGTTCTGGGCATGACCTTCATTCTCAGTTATTCCATCCTTCCTAGCGGGCAGCTGCCCCAAACATGTGTGTTTTTTTTTTTTTTAATTTTTATTTATGTATTTATTTATTTTTTGGAGAGGTTTTTGCTATAGGGCACATGCGTTCGACAGAAAAACAGAGAGAGACAGTAAGTGAGAAATCACCCCCCAGTGGGATAGCCACGCTGCAATCCCTTCTCCTCCATTCTCCTCTCGGGATCTTGGGCACGCACACACACGCACCCGGCATGAGTTTAAGCCACCGGGCCCGGGGCTCGAACCGTGGTCGACTATGTGGGAGTCCAGCAACATAGCCATTATGCTAACTGCTGGTCCCGGGGGGCTCAGTCATCTGTACTTCTTCTGTCCTTGGGGCTGCGTGCAGTCTTGGCAGACCCAATGGTGTGTAGCTGGGGGTACGCATGCGGGGTGCAGCCAGGCCGTCCACGTGACCTGACGGCGCCTCCCCCACCCCAGCACGGCGTCCACCAGCATCAACGCCATGGCCGCGGTCACGGTGGAAGACCTCATCAAACCCCGGCTGCAGAACCTGGCACCCCGGAAACTCGTCATTATCTCCAAGGGACTCTGTGAGTAGCAGGGGGACCCAGATTGGGGGGCGGGAGGGGGCTCTCCCGTTGACCAGGTCACCCCAACCTGTTACAGCTCTGATCTACGGCACGGCCTGTCTCACCGTAGCAGCTCTGTCCTCTCTGCTGGGGGGCGGTGTCCTCCAGGTGAGATGCCCTCCGCACCCCGGCATTGTCGCCATAGAACGGAGGCTCAGAGCGGGTCACCCGTGTCTGCAGCAGAACTGGGCGGGGAAAGGATTTCCTGCAATGACAAGCCTGGGACAGGGAACAGCTGAAGCCAAGACGGCTGTCCTGAGCCCTATGCACTCCCACCGACTCCCAGGGCTCCTTCACTGTCATGGGTGTCATCAGCGGTCCCCTCCTCGGAGCCTTCATTCTGGGAATGTTCCTGCCCGCCTGCAACACGCCTGTGAGTGGGGGAGGGCGTGGCCACGATCAAGAGGCGTGGCCAAGAGCCGGGGCGTGGCCAGAGCCCAGGACGACCTAGTGGTGGGGCGTGGTCTACCTGGGGGAGGGGCCAGAACCTGGGTAGAGACAATGATGGGGCGTGACCGGGTAAGGGTGTGGTCAGAACCTGGGTAGAGCCAATGATGGGGCGTGACCGGGTAAGGGCGTGGTCAGAACCTGGGTAGGGCCAATGATGGGGCGTGACCAGGTCAGGGGCGTGGTCAGTGCCTGGGTGAGGTCAATGATGGGGCGGAGCCAAGCGGCATCGTCTCTGACGCAGGCTCCGCCCCCAGGGTGTCCTCTCTGGGCTGGGCGCGGGCCTGCTGCTGTCGCTGTGGGTGGCAGTGGGTGCCACGCTGTACCCGCCCAGCGCACAGTCCATGGGGGTCCTGTCGTCGTCCGCCGCCGGCTGCGCGGCTCCCGCAGCTAATGCCTCTGACCTCCTGGACCGGCTCCTGGCTATCAACTCCTCCAGCAGGGCCACCAGGTGCGCAGGTGGATTTGGAGGATGGGAAGAAGGGAGGTGTGGTCCTGGCGGGGCTGCGTCCAGGGAGGGCCATTACCCCAGCTCAGAATGAGTCCAAAAGGAAGCCAGCAGGTGCGTGATTAAGGGTGCTGGGCTCCCACGTGGCAGACTCCGGTTAAAATCTGGGCCAGGTGTCTTGCTTTCTCAGTTTTCCTCTCTCTGTTTTTATCTCTCTGGCCAGATTAAATAAAGTTAAATAAAATAATCATTTTTTTCTCTTTTTAAAAAACATTTAAAAATCTTTATTTATTTACTTATTTTTAATTTGACCAGAGAAGGACAGGGAGGGGGGAGTGAGAAAGCAAACCGCCAGGCCCAGGACTCGAACCATGGTCGATCATGTGGGAGTCCAGCACCCTTAACCACCATGTCACCTGGTGGCCCCAATAAAATAATTCTTAAAAAAAAAAAATCAGTCCAAAAAAAACTCAGCTGCTTAGCCAGGAAAGGCAGGTACCAAGGCTCTGAGGCCAGATTTGGTCCAGCTAAGTGAGGTTGGGGTGGATTTAATGGGAGGACAGAGGGATAGGAGACAAGATATGAGAAAAAATAAAATATTTTTTTTGGAGAGGTTTGTGCGATAGGGCGTGTGCACTCACCAGAAAGAGAGAAAGTGAGAAATCACCCCCCAGGGGGGATGGCCACGCCGCAATCCCTTCTCCTCCATTCTCCTCTCGGGGTTTTGGGCACACACGCACACGCACCCGGCATTTTTCAAACTCCCAGGTTTGGGTCTTGAACCACAGAGTCAGCCATGTGGGATCCACGGCCTTAACCACCACACCAACTGCTGGCTCCCTTATGCTTTATTCTTTCTTTCTCTTATTTTGAAATTATTTGTGTAATTTTATTTATCATTACTATTATTTTTTAAAAGAATTTTTCATTTCAATTTTATTTATTTATTCATTTATTTTAATTTGACCAGAGACAGAGAGGGAAAGTGAGAAAACAAGCCACCAGGTCCAGGTCTTGAACCAGAGTTAGCTATATAGGAGTCCAGCACCTCACCATGTCATCTGCCAGCCTATTATTATTATTATTTTTAATTAAAAAAAATAATTCTTTTATTTCATTTTTATTTATTCATTCATTTATTTTAATTTGACCAGAAAGAGACAGAGAGAGAAAGACAGAGAGAGAAAAAGTGAGGAAGTAAACTACCAAGTCCGGGACTTGAACCATGGTTGGCCATGTGGGAGTGTCTAACACCTTAACTCTCATGCCACCTGCTGGTCCCCATATTATTTAAAATTTGATGAGAGAGAGAGAAAGAGAGGGAGAGAGAAAGTGAGAAAGGAAGGCACCAGGTCTGGGACTCAAACCATGGTCTACCATGTGGGAATCCAGTGCCTTAACCATGGCGCCACCTGCTGGCCCTGAGTTGCATTGTAGCACTGCACCTCACCCAGATGTGTGCAGACGCCAGTTCTCCAACCCCGGGTGTAGGGAGGAGGGAGAATTGTGGGAGGGGGAACAGAAGGAAAGATGGGTGGGCGTGGCTTCTCAGCGTACACGCAGGGGTTCGGGAGCAGGCTGATGCCCACCTGTCACATCCCCAGTTCCAGGATGGACCCCGGTCGGCCCGTCCTGGCAGACAGCTTCTATGCCATCTCCTACCTGTACTACGGAGCCCTGGGCACGCTGACCACGGTGCTGTGCGGCAGTTTTGTTAGCTGCCTGACAGGTAAGCGGGGCTCACGGTCTTCTCCGAGGTCATCCCGTCCAGCCCTCTGCCTCAAGGGACACCTTGTGAGGAGGGGCAGGAGTTCCATCTGCTAAGAAGCCACTACTTTTTTTTTTTTTAGAGGTTTTTTTTCTCGGGCGCGTG